GATGTGTTGCTATAGGCACCTTCTCTCGGTGCTCGGCGCCATGGCGACGGACGCTTAGCTCTCGGCTCAGCAGCCATGGAAAAATGAAGGGCAAGGACCAGAGGAAGGAGAGGGTGTGGAGTGAGCAAGCCGGTAGGTGGGGGCGATCGCCCTACCACGCCGATAGGGTGGCTCGCCCGGGCTTGGACTCACTACCACGTGTGTACACATGAGATGAGGCTTTGAACCATTATGGCCAAAGGAAGCCGAAGGGATATGGATTGCACCACAAGTAGCTCCAAAACCTATGAAAAACGTGGGTTTAAGGAGAGTGAGAGTAGCAAGAGAAGAGGAACATGCCCTTGATACAATCGTCCATTATTAAAAAATAAAAGAGAGAAGAGGAGTAAGGGACCACAAGTGCTAATGGTTAACAACTAAAATTAGTACCAGTTGATCGAGACCTCTACTAATAGACCAATTAACTATTAGCTAGAGGGCTGCTATGTATTAATTCTATTAGTAGGTTTAGAACGCTAATAGGCGCTAATAGACAGTTAAGAGACAAATTTATCCTTCGCAACCCTGTCCACTAAATGCACTCACCTCCGCTCCAAACTTTCAACCCCGATGTAAGTCATTGACTTTCCTAGAGAGATTTGGGCTGCTACAGTGGGTGTTGGTGGTCCAAAGAGCAATCTTTGAGGAAAAGGAAAAATGAAGGGCCATATGGACAAAATCCATCGCAACACTCTTTTTAGCCACCCATTAGCAATTTGTTAGCAGTTAGATCTAAACAACCACCTACTAATAATTAGATCCTATTTGACAGAGCTCCACGAGCTCCATATTCACGGAAAACAACTCCACTCCATTAAATTTTACTAAAATGCTCTAGCTTCACGAAATCTGGATCTGCCAAAGTCACAGATCTAGGACCAGATCCATGGTTTTCATGGAGCTCCTCAAGAGGTGATCCATGAATGTTGGTTTCATAGTTCCTTGTGGAGTTTGGTGGTAATTACTCATCAATACCACTGATTACACACATCCCATCCAACATACTGATCCATTTCTATTATGTCTGTCTTCTTCTCCACTCAACCGATCAAGAGAAAAAAACACCACGCCTCCTGCTCCCGCACCGCCACATCCAGAGATCCGGCGGCCTACTCAGGCGAGCCAGTGATGGTCGGATCAGGTAGATCCAGCCCCCTCCACCTCCCCCACCCCTTCTCTTCCATAGTCATGGTAACACCTAGCTAGGGTTGGGTTTTCACGGCAACTGTGGGGTCTAGAGCTGTTGTGGAAACCAAACAGCTTGGACAAAATTCCCTATTTAGCATCGGAAGATGATACGGTTCCTTATTTAACATTAAAAAAAATAAAATTTTCTCAATATAGCATTGGGTTCTTTTTTTCCCTATATAGCACTGCCGTTATATTTGGCCTCTAACACTGTCAACTATGAGTCAAAAAGACCATTTTACCCTGTTTCATTTATTGCACGGCTTTTTTTTTACAATATCATTTTCTTAGAAAATTAAATATTTTTTGACAACACAATTTTTCTGGACCATGAATATTTTTTAGGAGTACAATTTTTTTGCATAGATTTATTTACAACAATTCTTGATGTACGTTTCGTTCGGTAACAAAAAAATGATTGTTATCCACAAAATTGTGAATCGGGGAACTAGGCTTCAGGCTTCAGCGATTCTCGCGTGATTTTTTTTGAATCGAGGTGCTTGCTGGGCTCTCTGAGACTGTGACTAAGGTCCTTGTGCTCTAGTTTGGTCGAGCAAGCCGCTGAGCTGGATAAATTTTAGGCATGCCAATTTGGTTGGTTGACTAGGGAGAAATGATGTTTTCCACAGAGCTCTGAACTTGTTCAGTTTGTTTACTCCGCTTTGGTTGGCAGACTGATTGTGTCACCTGGGTCCCCGATCACTATATTTTTTCTGACACTTGATTGAAGGAGCAGGGGACCCGGTTTCTTCAATGTAGATTACTGGGATTCTCGTGGAGGTTAGGGGTCTAATCAAATTATTTGTTTTGGACATTGGAGTCATGATTGCTGTTACTTAACATTTAGACTTCGTCTACTCTATTATTCATTTCCTAAAACAATTTTGTGGTCTCAAAGTCATGGATACACAAGAATTAATTAAAAATATATACAAATGCCCTAAAACAGTGGCAGTGTTATCGACAGATTAATCAGTGTTTGAGTGTTCCGGACCTCTGGGAGGCAGCGGAGAATACCAACCTCAGCGAGCAACTGGACCGGACTGTGTGGCGCTGGACGCCAGATGGAAACTACAGCGCCAAATCAGCCTACACAATGCTGCACACAGGTTCCGTCCCCTTTCGAGGTCACTCCCTGATTTGGAAAACGTGGGCGCCGCTGAGGGTGAAATTTTTCCTGTGGCTCGCGTTCTGGAGGCGACACTGGACGAACGATCGCCGGGCAAGACATGGGCTCGAGGCAAGGGAAGAATGTTACCTCTGCGATCAGGCGGCGGAGACGATTGACCATATACTGTGCTGCTGCCCCTTCTCAAGAGAGGTTTGGTTCCATATCTGCCGAGCTCTAGACCGCCCTTTGCCGCCATTGGAGCAGTCTGTCTTTGCGTGATGGAGACGCCTCAGAGCAAATTGGAATCAACAGCACAAGAAGGGTCTCGACTCTCTATTCGCCCTCGTCTCCTGGCAAATCTGGAAGGAGCGGAACGCTCGATGCTTCTGATGGTCATCAAGGCAGAGGCTGATCAATGGGTTCAGGCGGGGGCCAAGGACCTAGGAAGTTTAGCTTGTAATCCAAAGATGTAGCCCCTAGTGATCCCGGCCTCAGGCCGGTCATTTGTAAAAACTTATATTTCCTTCTTAATACAAAGATACGCAATGCTCTTGCGTATTCGAGAAAAAAAAAAGTGTTTGAGTGTTACCTGCCACCATAAGTAGAGTACTTATGTTTGGTTCAGTGTTTGTTGCTAAAAACTATACATTGATTGCAAGTTTGCATCCAATATGTTGTTTTGAATTTAAATTTTAGTAACGTTCTTTTTGGAGAAATTGTGCCAAAGAATGCAGGGGGACTATGCAATCACCATGCCGCCTTGTCAAACAGATGATACAGACTGTCTGCTAATGAGCATCTTTTAATTAGTCATCTACACAGAAAAAAAAAGGTTGTTACAATTTCTTTTCCAATTAATTGGAAGAGGACATATGGCTCCATCCATTGTCCTCTTGGGCTCTGCCATTGCTGTCCTGATGTTTATACAGTTATTTGGCTAGTTGCCTGACATAATAATTGCAACATTGAATTTTTGTTAACTCTAGAGTTATGAACTATTGTTTCTTGGGCATCAGTACATGATTTTGCTTGGCTGTCTATGTAATCTGTGTGCTCTTATACATTTTTTTCATAAACTGGGGAACAGATTGGCAATGTAAATTGCATTTTTTGAAATATACTTTGTGTCCACAGTTTCCACTGGATGGAATGTAGCTAGTAGCTTCAATCTGAGTTTTTTTTTCTGTATCCCTGTAACCTAAACTATACTTGGGATCTGTTAATTTTTATTATTTTACTGTTTTTTTGGAATCATGAACATACTTGTTACAGAAACTAGAAATGTACATGTAGTAGCTGCTGAAGATATATCCACTTATCTAGTTACTGCGCACTTCCCAGTTCCCACAGAACCTAGTGCAGAAAGAAAATTTTGTAGGCAATGAGAAGCAGGGGGTGCAGCCTACAATACCCTTCAAGAGAAACCGTCACCGAAAATATCTGGCTGCCAAATAAATCTTCATCAGAGCACATATTGTCATATTCTGATTTTTAAGCTTGCAAAGGGAAAAAAACATTACAACAATGGTGCATTTCAAGGTACATTTCTTCTTTTGAATTTTAGTATTGCTTATATTATTTCCGATGAGAGATCTCCATGCATGCATTATTTGAAGTTAGTTCACCATCTGTCACTTTAATAGTGTTAAATATTAAGCATCCCAAGCAACTTTAGCTATCAGCAACCAGAAAAACACGGATTAGAACAAATGGTTGTATTTCTACCACCTAGCGGTTTGGTAGCTTATGGTACAGAAAAAATGGCCGAAATAGAAACAACAAACCGTACATAGACTTATACATTAACTCATTGATTTATGCCAAGGCAGTTAATTAGGAAAGGAGAAACCACGGTGCACCACTAATTATAATTTGTGTAAGCGAGGAACATCGCGTGGGTTAGATTGATTGATTGCCATGTATAGGATAAATGTGAACCTATATTGGCAGCCATAGGGTGAGCCAGAGCTACAGGCACGGGCAACCCTAAGCGCATGGGCCTTGGCCAAAACACGGCTTAAACCTAACCAGCCCACTGACAGTCTGTCTAACAATTTGTCTGACACAATGCCAGTGCCCAGTAGCATCATTTTTAATTCTTAAATCTTGGTGCATGATTTTTGTGTACTTTCCATTTATTGGAATCATCTTAGTATCACTGTTATGCATAAACTGAAGTTTTATTTCTCTCAGCACTGCGCTTTACTCATTTGAGACAGTTTCTTTGTCAGTCATCTAAAAGTGTATCAGTATTGAGTACACAAGGTGCATGAAAATAATTCTTGTTGCATGCTTTGGAAATAGATTCTTCCTTGCAAATCAATGACTAGGTACTTCGGTTCTCTTATTCAAAAAGGCTTATGTATGAAAAATGCCATTAATCATGCTAGACATGGATCCTCCATTTCATTTTGCATTGAATACCATATGTTCAATCAACCAGCTGGAGTTCTCTCCGTCATCAACCCTGACTCCAAAAATTGCTTCCACTACCAAAATTGAATTTCTGTTGATTTCTTATTTACTTCCAGTAACCACATCAATCAAATAATCAAGAGGGCATTCCTTGTATTGTTACAGATTCGATTTGAGAACCCTTGAATCTTTCGATATCTTGATTGAACTGATCATATCTTTTATCATGTCCTGCAACAATGGTAGATCATGTTGAATTTCGCTTGGTATTAGCCCAATACTCAGCCACAAGTTTAGCAAATGCTGATTGTTTGTCTTCCAACAGCTTGGCTGGCGTTTCATATTCTAGAAGCTTCCCTGCACAATTGGAAAATCATCATCATGAATCGTCCATATATATAGACTTATAGAGTAAGCTTGGTGATATACTTCTAAATATATCATATAAGGCATTGATAGTTTATCTGTCATACTGGTAGTCCGAGGAATGAATTAATTTTTTTGCAAATGCTACATGACCGAAATGTTTTGTATAGCATACCGTAGGACAAGACCATGACCCTGTCACTGTCTGTCACAGTTGGTACCCTGTGAGCTATGGTTATAACCGTGCAACTTGAGAACTGCTGCCTGATTACTTTCTGCAGGATTGCATCTGTTGCAGAGTCGATGGATGCCGTCGCCTCATCTAGAACTAGAATTTTGTTCCTGCGGAGGAGAACTCTGCCAAGACAGAAGAGCTGACGCTGTCCAGCACTCCAATTATCGCCATCATCACTCACTGCCACAATTTTATTTTGCATGAACAAACGGAATGTGTTTAATCTCTCTTTAATAAGGTATAAATTGCTTTGGGTATAATTCTATCTTCACGTACCAACTGTATCAAGAAGAGCAGAGGTGCTGCTGATTGCTGTCTTCAGTTGACACTTCTCCAAGGCCTGAAATGGTCATTGCATGTACATGTAGTGCATATCAGAAAACATGAGACTTTTATTGTTCACACGGGCATGTAGCAATATGGTTAAGTATGATTAGATCTTTAAAAATGGCAAGCTTCTACTGCTTTTGGTGACAGAAGGGGTATGTAACATGGCTTTACTAGGAACTGTGTTATGTAAGAATTTGCATTTACACTTTTAAACTTGTTATAGTTTTGGAGTCATAACAGTTTTTCTTACCTCCCATATCTCTTGATCAGAATGCAGGCCAAGGGGATCCAAATTGGTGCGCACGGTTCCCCTGAAAAGTGTAGGTTCTTGAGGAATAATACTTAGTTTAGTTCTTAGATCCTTAAGGCCAATGGAGCAAATATCCAACTTGTCAATAAGTATCTTCCCACCCGCCGGATCAACGAGACGGAACAATGAGCTGATAAGTGTTGATTTCCCACTTCCGGTCCTCCCTACAACCCCAATCTTGTTCCCAGCAGAAAAAGTGCAAGTGATTCCTTTGAGGACAAGCGGTGCGTTTGGACGGTATCTTATCTGCTCATTTAGTACAAGACAGCGAGTCAATTTCTCAGAAAGCTTCTATGAGATTGTGGAAAACAATCATCCTATTATTTACCTTCAAATCTTGCAGGTCTATCCTTCCTCCTGTGGCCATGAAGTTGGAGGTCTATTTTCTGGTATAATGGCCGGTGGCTCCACTGGGAGGTGCATATACTGCTTGATTCGTTCAACAGAGATGATGTAGTTTTCCAAGTAGGAATAGAACCTTGTCAAGAAAACTTGTGCTGAAGTCAACGTCAAAGCATAGGAGAGACAAAGTCCTGCAAAGCCTGAAATAAGAACATATTGGTTACATTTCATCAGTCCAAAGATACCATTGGGAAGGAAGATCTAGTTATAATGGTAATGTGGGTACCTGGAGAAATTGCTCCTGGAGGAACCAGAACAAGGAACAATGCTGCTGTGATTATTGTCAAGGACTGCAGTGCCTCTACTCTTATGAGCACCCACTCTTGTGCTGCAACGGTATGGAAGAACAGTGTCGCATCAGTGTCGATAAGCTGCATGTTGCTGTGGATAAACCTCTCAGTTGCTGCAAATGCCCTGATCGTCACCACACCAAGAATTGATTCTGACGCATAGTTCATTACAGGTGCCTTTGTTGTTCCATTGATTCTTACTAGCTCCCTAGCTGAGGAAACGTAGTACCTCTTCATGTTTTGATTGGAAACTATGTGTTAGCTCAAAAACTCGCTAGATACATTAACTAACTAGAGTTATTTCTTGCAGCAATGTGTACTGACCTGAACATATATCATGGTGATCGTAACTGGGATAGCTACAACCAAGACTTGCCAAGTTACAGTACCCATGACCAGTACTGTGGTAACAACCTCAATACCGCCCGTCGCCACAAAAGCCATGGAGTAAGGTATGTCGAAGTCTAGAATGCTTAAATCTGAAGATGCCTGCACAGGCCAGCATTTGTATTTTAAATTTCTCCTTTTTGAAAAAGTTATTACTATCTTGTTATGATCTTATTTGTATAAAATACGGTAAAATAAAATAACATTCATACCCTTGTTAAAATTCTTCCCACTGGTGTTGAGTCAAAAAATGACATGGGAGCCTTGAATACGGAATCCATTAGCCCGCCAAAGAATGCTTTGGAGGCCTTTAGACCCAGATTAGCCGCAAAAAGGCTTCTAAAGTAGGCGAAGCAGCAGCTGAAGATAGAGAGTCCAGAATATGCCCCAACAAGAAGTGCAGCACTGACGCTATCCATCTGAACAGCCACCGCCAACCAATATGTGGATGCGATCTGGAAGCACGTGAAGAGCACCTGAGAAGTACACATGCCAGAGAATTGGAAAGCCGCCTTGGGTACATTTATGTAGTCTTTGTATGGCTTCCATCCCAGGTCACCAGTGCCCTTCTCTTCCTCTTCTGTAAGTTGTATTGCTGCTGAAGGTCCCTTTGCGGTGACTTCGATGTCGCTGGCCTGCCTTATAACCTGCAGTGCACTTGGCACTATGTATTCATCAGACGCTTGTTGCCCTTGATCTTGGTTCTGTTGGCTAGCACTAGTATCCAATGCTGTGATCGAAGACTGGTGAGCAGAAACCAGCTTCTCAAATGCTGTCCCAGATCCCAGAAGTTCTGAATATTTCCCTTGTTGACTAACTTGACCACCTTCCATTACCTGTTGAATAAATTGTAGTCTATGAAATGAGGACCCCTGATATAAAGAATCACAAACAATTGTGCTCAGAGTATCAACTTACCAGAATTCTATCGGTTTCGGTCAGAAATTCAACCTGGTGGGTCACAAGAACAACGGTCTTCTCTGCAAGTGCTGTCATTACACATTCCTGCATGAAACGTTGCCCTTAGAACTGCGTGAAGGAGAAAACATACCATTTTATGGATACTGATCGAGGAATTTATCTGCAGCTTACATAAAAAAGAACCGCAGCAGTGTGTGCATCAACTGCACTGAATGGGTCATCCAGTAGATAAACATCTGCATCATTGTAGACGGCTCTAGCCAGCTGAATCCTTTGCTTCTGACCTCCACTCATGTTCAGTCCTCTCTGACCAATCTCTGTGAGGTCTCCATGATCAAAATTTTCGATATCCTTGTCCAGAGCACAAGATTTGATTGCCTTATCATACAGTTCCTTGTTGAAAGGCTTCCCGAAGAGTATATTGTCACGAACAGTCCCACTCTGTATCCACGAGGTCTGTGAAACATATGCCACTGAACCAAATACTGCAACCTGCAAAATACAATTTTGTTGTATTCTCAGTTATTATAACATATATATGATTGAAATATTTTATAGTGTAAAAAAGCATTAAGCTCCTGGTCACTTACCGATCCTGATATTCTTGGTATCTCCCAAGTAATGCATACAGGAGTGAAGATTTCCCTGAGCCAACTGGGCCGCATACGGCCACCTTCTCTCCTCTATTTATGCGAAGGTTAACATTCCTCAGTGACAAATCAGCTCCGCTTGCCTTCCAGCTGAAATTTCCATCTTGGACTTGAATTCTGACACCAGAGTTATCTGAAGGTACTCTTTTCACATCCTCCTCTCTGATCTCGTCTTCGAGAAGAAACTTCTCAATTCGATCTAATGACACCTTGTACTGGATCATCATTGTGAGGATCTCAGGAAGGAACCTCACTGGCTCAGCCATTACCCTCAGGGTGGCCAAGACCGTGAAGAGTGTGCTAGCATTCAGGGGAGCACTCCCCATGATGGCCGTAGCTGTGTACATCACAGCAGAGACGACCGTCGGGGACATCCAGTACATGACTGCACCGTAGGCCTTCTTCATCTGGGTCTCCCTCAGCCATTTGAACTCCCTGTCCCTGAACGACTCGATCATGTGGCGGAACTTGTCTTCCCATGACTGCAGCTTGATGATCTTCATGCTGTTAAGTATCTCGGACGTCGACCGGAGCCTCTCGTCCTGGGCAACCATGAACTTGGCCTGGTACCCTTGCAACATTTTCGCGAATGGCACGTTGAGGAAGCCAAAGATGACAAGGGGGACCAGACCAGGAAGAGCCCCAAGCTTGAGTGCCCAGAAGAGAGTGGCGACTGCGAAGACCAGCTGAAGTGGCGAGCTCCACCCCATGTGCAGCCAGCTGATGGCGTCGCCAAGCCGGTACGCATCGACCGCAATGTAGTTGACGATCTCGCCAGTGGAGTGGTTGTTCCTCCCCTGACTGGACAGCCTGAGCTGCTTCCGGAAGATGACCGCCATCAGCGCTGACCGGATGCGCATCCCGGTCCTCCTCGAGTCAAAGAACCAATGCCGCTGCGACAGGGACTCGACGAGCTTGGTGAGCAGCAGGCAGCCGACAAGGGCCAGGCCGACCCGGAGGTCTCGCTCCTCCTGGTTGCTGTACCACACGAACGCGAAGAGCAGCAAGGGGGCAACTGCTACGGACAGCGTTCTCAGGAAGGCGTAGAAGCCGGTGAGCAGGATCTCGCCGAGGAAGCACTTGCACAGGACGAGGGCGAGGCTGTTGCTGCCCACTCTCCGGCGGCTCCTGGCCTTGTCACTCACGTGGCGGCTCCAGGCCTCGGCAAACTTCTGCGATGTGTGGTGCGCGGTGTCGTCATCGGCGATGAGCGGGATGTCGTCGAGGTCCAGCGCCTTGGAGCGGCCGACACGGAGCAGAGGGTTCAGCCACGAGAAGGCAAGCTGGCCGAACAGGCCAGCGCGGTACAGCTCCGAGGTTGGCACGGTCCTGTCTTTGCCGATCAGAGGCTCTGACAAGCCGCTGCAGCCGTCGTTGGATGCGTCCCGGTGGCCCCACGGCAGCAGGGAGCCGACGGCGCAGAGCAGCAGGAGGAGGCTCACCGGCCACGCGATCGTCTCCGCGAGGCCGAGGCTGTGGCCCCCGGCAAGGATCTCTACATTGTACGCGGTGACCAGCAGCGAGAAGAGCGCCCACCAGAATACGGCCACGGCCCTCGCTGGCCTCGTCGGCTGGGCGTGCAGCGACGCCGCCAGCGCGATCCAGACCAGGCCCCTGACGAAGTAAGGAACCGCCGCCTTGATGTCGTAGGCGTCCTGGAGAGCCGTGACACCGTACGCCACGGCAGCCGCCACGCAGCACGTGGAGACGACGAGCAGCACCCACCCAGGAGCGCTGCTCCTCCGGCTTGCAGCTGCAGCGCACTGCCGCCGCCTGACGCAGGCGACCACCAACGTGGAGACGTACGCGACGAGAAGGACCACATTGACACAGTCTATGAGTGTCCTCTGCACGCACGGGGACGCGACGGTGAGCCGCCCGCCGTCCTCTCCCCCGCAGATCCAAGATGACGACCAGCCTGCCATGCCTGTAACCAAGCAAACAAGCTCGTAATTATCAGCAGGTACGGGAAACCATTGATCCAACCAATAACTACGATCTAGCGACACGGAAGCAAGAAACAGGAAAGGATTTACACGAGCAATTAAAAGGTTCGGCCGTCTCCTCTCCGAGAGTTCTTACCAAGAACGCCCATGGCCGGATCGCCGTTGTCGGCCATTGCGGCCGCTGACATGTAGCGCGCCCGGCAACGAGAGGCCGAGGCGTCTCCTTCTCTGGCCTATTCCTGGACGGACGATGGAGGAGGGGGACGAGACAATAGCAGCTAGTTATTAGTTGGCTTTCGCTGCTGTTGGCTTGCGCGCTGTATTATGCATGGAGGGTGCCACTGGCAGCCACCAGGCAGGGACTGAATGCACTGCAAAACTCGGACTCTTCCGCTGTCACTTTCAGCCGCGCGGAACCAAAGATTGTATTTGCTATTCTTTTGAAACGGGGTGCGGACGTGTGGGGTTGTTGTCCTTAGCTGCTTGCCCTCGTGCAGCTAGAGCGGTCTCGGCCTTCATCATTGGTGTGCATGCGTATGGCGTGACGTGGCACGTAAGCGGCGGCAGCGCTGGATCTGGCTGGCCAGAGATCGGAAAGAGGAGAGCCGTATCCGTTTGTCTTGGTGCAGAGCTCAAGAGCCCCTGCTCCTCGTGGTTATACCTAGTATCGGATAGTCGTTCTAAGTTTTCTAGATAGGTGTATAGTTTTTATTGTATATTTAGGTATAGAGTAAAAGTTATGTATCTAAAAAGTGTTAGAATGATTCACAATTTGAAACGAAAGAGAATATAAACGAAGCCTTCCTACCTCCATCATATTTTATAAAGGAGATAAAATTTACTCTCTTCGTCTCAAAATAAGTACACATCTCGCATTTTGAAGAGTCAACTCATCTCAAGTTTGACCAATATATAAAATGTACTAATATTTATGAAACTAAATAAACATTATTAGATTAATCATGTAATCTATTTTTATAGTAATCTTATTTAGAGATAGAAATGTCAATATTTTTCTATAAATCTAATCAAACTTAAAATCATTTGACTCCTCGGGATTTGAGATGTGCACTTATTTTGAGACAGATGGAGTACTAAGCCCTGATTAAATTCACCTTGCTAATAGTTAGCAACTACTCCATCCATTTTAAATTGTAAATCATTTTATTTTTTCTAGATCCACAGAGCTTTTGATATGCACCAAGACATATGTATCTCAAAAATCTAGAACAACTTACAATTCCCAAACGGGGGAGTAAGAATTAGCAAGTATTGTTCCATTAATATTAAGAGGTGTGCTGGCTACTAGTAAGTTTTTAGCAAGGTACAACTTGCTAGCTAGCAAGTGCCAAAAATTCGAATATTATGGTTTGTTTGGATCTATCCAGCTAATTGTTAGTTGTGTTAGCTAGAAAAATCAATAATAAATAGCTAATTATTATTAGCTGGATAATAGGTAAGACATTAGTTTTTTTCTAAAAAGTAAGACATTAGCTGACGTACCAAACAAAGATTTCAGCTAGTTTTTAGTAACCAACTGTTAGTTGGATTCAAACGGGTCCTAAAACTAGGAGATCTAACATCTAAGTAGGGCCTAGTATATTACTCTTGCAAAAGACACTACTATCTCCATCCCCGAATGAAATTCTAGGTTTGATCAAAGTCTAGTATCACTATTTATGGTTCCAAATAGATATTACTAACGAAAATATATTCATAACAAATCTAATTATACTTATTTGAACTTTTTTATTATGGTTGCGGAGACGTCAGAAAGCGTTAGCTGTGTTAATGATTAGTGGGCCTATATGAGGTAAGCCGTTGAGAAGCGTTAATGAGGGAGGCGTTGGATGTGTCTATGGTCGGTGGGCCCATATGCGCCGTAACGCCTCCAAAGTTAAGAGGATTAGGACTTCAAATAAAAGAGTGACAATTCCGTTTTCGTAGTTATTTTTTTAATCAAGGGTAGAACCGTAAACCAGCAGGCGGGCGCTGCGGCCATCCCGTACATGGACCTGTCGGCGCCGGGCGCGGCCGCGGCGGTGGCTGACGCGTGCCGCAGCGTGGGCTTCTTCAGGGCGACCAACCACGGCGTGCCGGCGCACGTCGCCAAGGCGCTGGAGGCCCGGGCGATGGCGTTCTTCGCGCTGCCTACGCAGGAGAAGCTGGACATGTCCGGCGCCGCCCGCCCCATGGGGTATGGCCGCAAGAGCATCGGCTCCTCCTCTCCGTCAGCGCCAACACCGTCAAGGTTTCCTCCTTGCCGCCCTCGCTCTGGTAAGCTAGCTAGCTGTTGATCTTGCTTCGTCTTCGCCGTGCACGCACACCTGGGTCGACTCACTCAGCGGACTGGATGCATGAGCATGCATAGCGGCATTGGAGGAGTACACGCTGCGGTGAGGGAGGTGTGCGGGCAGGTGCTGGAGCTCATAGCCGAGGGCCTAGGCGTGGACCGGTCCCTGCTGAGGGCGATGGTGGTGGGGCGGGAAGGCAGCGACGAGCTGGTGCACGTGAACCACTACCCGCTGCTGCCGCCGGTGGAATGCGGCGTGACGGGGTTCAGGGAGCACACGGACCCGCAGATCATCTCCGTGCTCAGGTCCAACCGCACGGCGGGCCTGCAGATCAAGCTCTGGGACGGCAGGTGGGTCCCCGTGCCCCCCGCCCCGGAATCCTTCGTCGTCAACGCACGGGATGGTCGGAAGGGAGATGTGCGAAATGACCATAATGCCCTTGACAAATAAAATCAACAAAAATAGCTATTTTGGATAAGCATCAGGAAGCGTCAGCAAGCGTTATGAAGCATTTCCAACCATTGTAAAAGGGCTCATATGCTGACAAGATGCGCCAAAATTTGAAGCGACGCATTGCAGGGCTCGAGTCCGATCCGTCCGGCCTGTTGTCAAAGACCAAACTCGTGGATCATGCGCTGAATATAAAATGACATATACAGGGAGTAGGCGAGTACGTAGGATCATCGATCAATGATCATCCATCGTTAAGTTACTATATACTTTTTTGGTACGTAGAATTTACATTTAGACATATATTATATTTAGATGCATAGCAAAATAAATAAATCAAAAAAATTAAAATGACTTATAATTTGTAATAGAGGGAATACGTCTTCTTTTTCCGACTGTGCTTTAGTCATCGACTAGACGCTGTTTCGTCGTCAGTCTATCTTTGCCATGCAGGGGGTGAAACCATAGTGTGAATGGGTTGCAAATGTACCCCAAAAATAAAATAAAATAAATAATTATTTTGATTAAAATTCTATCACATATATATGTATCCTTCGTATAACACATACTCCCTCAGTCCCCCTATATGTGTCGTTCTAGGAGCAAGAGTAAATGTTAGATTCACTCAATCTTCAATGCATCTGTACACAAAGTATGTCCAGGTTCAGATAATTTTTTGTTGCACATGTTTAAGAGCCAAAATGACTTACATATAGGGATAGGGGGAGTAAGTCAATGCACCCACAAGAGAAATAAATATAATTCCTTCGAGTTTGTCTAGCTTTGCCACTATTGCCGCGTGCTTAATTACCGTTGTAGTCGGTCGATCACCTTGGTACCACTATTGCTTCATGGTAAGGCGATCCATCGGTAAGTTAGAAAACTAGTACTCCCCCTATTCCGTCAATAAGCTAGAAAAGTAGTACTCACCCTTATTCCAAATTCTAAGATGTTTATAAACGTCTTTTCTAGATACATAGTTTTGGGTATGTACTTAAATATATTAATATATAGTAAAAACAATGTATTAAAAAATCAAAACATCAAAACGTTTAATAATTTGGAACACAGGACAGTAACTAGCAAGTTCACTTAAACAAGGTAGGCCCTGCTGCAGACACACTCAGTAATTGATGAAGCGCCGGGACACATTGCAAATGCTAACACGTCCCGTTCAGAGAGAGAGACTGAAAAAAAGAATGTAAACACGCTGTTATCCATAGCATCGATTCAGATTGAACAGTATATGGGCGTTCTGAATACTCAGGAGCGGATCTGGCGTGCTTTTAAAGCTGAGACTGGGTGTTCCTGTGATTCCAGTGCCCAAAAAAAAAAGAGCATAACAAAGCTTCCTAAGTACTAACTACCAAGATTGGAGGCATTCAGTACGTGGGGCGTCGGGGCGTATATTTCTTTAAATATGGGGCACATGGTATGCTCGTGACTTTTTATTTTTATTTATTCAAAAGGCTCGTTTGTGTCTGATCCTGTGTGATTAAAATTTCAGCTGGTCGTGCTTGAATTCTTGTGATTTTTTAAGGCTCTTATATATAGCTATGATCGTTGATCGACATGCATGCACTTTGCTAACCAATTTACCAACGTAGATTTAGTTCGTTTGCTTTGGAGTCTAGTTATTCAAACTGGCAATCAATTGTTCACTTGCTAGAGGCGAAAATATGGAATCCAATTCAAAAATATATATATAGATTCGAGACTTAAAAGAATTTTGAAACTTGCCACATCCATAGTGCATACACATATGTACTCACATGCAAAAGCTAGAATTCAAACTCGACTTGAAAATTTCATACAAAATAACAAATTCTAGGTTCATGTACACTAAAAGACAAAACTCCTAGGTTTCGTCTTTTAAGTGCACATGAACCTCGTATTTTTCATTTTGGTATGATTTTTTCTAGTTTGAGTTTATATCTCAACTTTTCTGTGTGAGTAAATATTTGTATGCACTATGAATATACCAAGTTTCAAAAAAAAATTTGAATGACTAAAATACGTTTTGAATTAGTTTTCATGTTTCCAGGTTTCCACCACATATTTTACCATTGTACACGCATGGGCATGCATGCCAAACAGTACAAACTAATATGCCTCTGTTAGTGACCAAAATATAAGACGTCGTCTACAAGGGGACACTTGGTCTAACAAATTCTATGAAAGTATAATTTATAAATAATCTATTCTAAAACAATACATTTTGTGATGAGAATCTTGCAATATCTACTTAGTGTGAAATCCAACGGGGGTAATTGAATTTGTCTCGCATTTTCAAATAAGTCTATGTACTTCTAAAAACCCGATTTTAAAACCCCTTATAAACTTGTTAAGGCCTCGTTCGTTTCTACCGGATTGGCCCGTTCCCGAGCCCGTTCCGGGCGGATCGCTGCGGCCCGTTTTCAATCCGGATGGGAACGAGACTATGC